AAAAACTACATTTTTGGGGGTAGAACAAGGCCATCAAGATTAAAATAAAAAAGTTTTAAAAAGTGCTCTATCACTTGAGCCACAGCTCCAGTCCATTTTGCCCTGGTCATTTTGGAGATGGGGTCTACTGAACTATTTTCCAGGGCTAGCCTCAAACCTCGATCTTTGTGGTCTCAGCCTCCCAAGTAGGTGGATTTACAGGCAGGAGCCACCACTGCCCAGCACAGCTCTGTGCTTTTAAACAACTTGCTGAATTTCCATGGGTCTCCTTTACCTCATCTGTAAAAAGATAATGGATTTTAGTATTGACCCTAGAGAGAAAGATAAAATGAGACCATCACATTAAGGTTTTAAGACATAAGTCCTGGAGGAGTGGCTCATGTGACAGAGCACCTGCCTAGCAAGCATGAGTACCTGAGTTGAAACCCCAGCAACACCCAAAAAAGAGGCATAATTTAGGTAATACTTGCATTTTTATTAATAATGATGAAAGTTTAAAAATGTGCCTACTTTTGGAGCCATTAGTGGCAGGCATGGATGATAAGAGTCCAATTCAACTGATAGTTTAGTAGGGCTAGGAAACAGTGCTCTATCACCAAGCTACATCCTTAGCCCTTTCATTCTGTTTTATTGGAACGGACTTGACAAGTAATGTTTACACTTCTTGGAAAAGCATAAAAGGTTATACAATATGTCCCATAAACATATTCAATATGCCCCTGGAGAAACCATAAACATATACATTATTCACCACGACCAGGTAGGCTTCATCCCAGGGAAGCAGGGGTGGTTCAACATACGAAAATCAATAAACGTAATAAACCACATTAACAGAAGCAAAGACAAAAACCACTTGATCATCTCAATAGATGCAGAAAAAGCCTTTGATAAGATCCAACATCATTTCATGATAAAAGCTCTAAGAAAACTAGGAATAGAAGGAAAGTACCTCAACATTATAAAAGCTATACATGACAAACCTACAGCCAGCATTATACTGAACGGAGAAAAATTAAAACCATTCCCTCTAAAATCAGGAACCAGACAAGGATGCCCACTATCTCCACTCCTATTCAACATAGTACTGGAATTCCTAGCCAGAGCAATTAGGCAAGAAGAAGGAATAAAAGGAATACAAATAGGTAAAGAAACTGTCAAAATATCCCTATTTGCAGACGACATGATCCTATACCTTAAAGACCCAAAAAACTCTACTCAGAAGCTTCTAGACATCATCAATAGCTATAGCAAGGTAGCAGGTTATAAAATCAACATAGAAAAATCATTAGCATTTCTATACACTAACAATGAGCAAACTGAAAAAGAATGTATGAAAACAATTCCATTTACAATAGCCTCAAAAAAATCAAATACCTAGGTGTAAACCTAACAAAAGATGTGAAAGACCTCTACAAGGAAAACTATACACTTCTGAAGAAAGAGATTGAGGAAGACTATAGAAAGTGGAGAGATCTCCCATGCTCATGGATTGGTAGAATCAACATAGTAAAAATGTCATACTCCCAAAGTAATCTACATGTTTAATGCAATTCCCATCAAAATTCCAATGACATTCATTAAAGAGATTGAAAAATCTACTGTTAAATTTATATGGAAACACAAGAGGCCACGAATAGCCAAGGCAATACTCAGTCAAAAGAACAATGCAGGAGGTATCACAATACCTGACTTCAAACTATATTACAAAGCAATAACAATAAAAACAGCATGGTACTGGCACAAAAACAGACATGAAGACCAGTGGAACAGAATAGAGGATCCAGATATGAAGCCACACAACTATAAGCAACTTATCTTTGACAAAGGAGCTAAAAATATACGATGGAGAAATAGCAGCCTCTTCAACAAAAACTGCTGGGAAAACTGGTTAGCAGTCTGCAAAAAACTGAAACTAGATCCATGTATATCACCCTATACCAAGATTAACTCAAAATGGATCAAGGATCTTAATATCAGACCCCAAACTCTTAAGTTGATACAAGAAAGAGTAGGAAATACTCTGGAGTTAGTAGGTATAGGTAAGAACTTTCTCAATGAAACCCCAGCAGCACAGCAACTAAGAGATAGCATAGATAAATGGGACCTCATAAAACTAAAAAGCTTCTGTTCATCAAAAGAAATGGTCTCTAAACTGAAGAGAACACCCACAGAGTGGGAGAAAATATTTGCCAACTATACATCAGACAAAGGACTGATAACCAGAATATACAGGGAACTTAAAAAACTAAATTCTCCCAAAACTAATGAACCAATAAAGAAATGGGCAAGTGAACTAAACAGAACTTTCTCAAAAGAAGAAATTCAAATGGCCAGAAAACACATGAAAAAATGCTCACCATCTCTAGCAATAAAGGAAATGCAAATTAAAACCACACTAAGATTCCACCTCACCCCTGTTAGAATAGCCATCATCAGCAACACCACCAACAACAGGTGTTGGCGAGGATGCGGGGAAAAAGGAACCCTCTTACACTGTTGGTGGGAATGTAGACTAGTACAACCACTCTGGAAAAAAATTTGGAGGCTACTTAAAAAGCTGGACATCGATCTACCATTTGATCCAGCAATACCACTCTTGGGGATATACCCAAAAGACTGTTACTCCAGAGGCACCTGCACATCCATGTTTATTGCGGCACTATTCACAATAGCCAAGTTATGGAAACAGCCAAGATGCCCCAGCACTGACGAATGGATTAAGAAAATGTGGTATCTATACACAATGGAATTTTATGCAGCCATGAAGAAGAACGAAATGTTATCATTCGCTGGTAAATGGATGGAATTGGAGAACATCATTCTGAGTGAGGTTAGCCTGGCCCAAAAGACCAAAAATCGTATGTTCTCCCTCATATGTGGACATTAGGTCAAGGGCAAACACAACAAGGGGATTGGACTTTGAGCACATGATAAAAGCGAGAGCACACAAGGGAGGGGTGAGGATAGGTAAGACACTTAAAAAACTAGCTAGCATTTGTTGCCCTTAATGCAGAGAAACTAAAGCAGATACCTTAAAGCAACTGAGGCCAATAGGAAAAGGGGACCAGGAACTAGAGAAAAGGTTAGATCAAAAAGAATTAACCTAGAAGGTAACACCCATGCACAGGAAATCAATGTGAGTCAATGCCCTGTATAGCTATCCTTATCTCAACCAGCAAAACCCCTTGTTACTTCCTATTATTGCTTATACTCTGTCTACAACAAAATTAGAGATAAGGGCAAAATAGTTTCTGCTGGGTATTGAGGGGGTGGGGGGGAGAGGGGGTGGAGTGGGTGGTAAGGGAGGGGGGGGGGCAGGGGGGAGAAATGAACCAAGCCTTGTATGCACATATGAATAATAAAAGAAAAAAAAAAGAAAATTTACATAAAGGAAAAGTTTTACAAAGATTAAAAAAAATAATAATAAACATATACAATATGTCCCTGGAATATCAAGTAAGAATCAATGAACATAAGTTCAGCTATGTAAAAACAAAAGTAGCTAAATCATACCAAGCTAGAAATGTGTGGTTGTGAAATTTTAACACAGATTTTGGAAATCCTCCTTATCAATAATGGATCCCTGTGACGTTAATACTACTTATACATTGGCTAAAGAATTTATTTAAACAATGGAATTTAAATTTTAAAAAACAAACATACATATATTATAAATGTTCATCTTGCATTGGTACATCATAAAATTTCTATGACTTGCAATCCAGAAATATTATATAGATAATAACCCTGTCAAATTTGGGATGGAGTCACAGCTTAAGCAGTAGAGCTCATGCCTAGCAAGACTGAAGCTCATATCTGTAATCCTGGCTACTTGGGAGGTAGAGATCAGAAGCATCACAGTTCCTGGACAGCCTGATGAATAAACAACTTAGCAAGACTCAGTCTCAACCAATAACTGAGCACAGTAGTGTGCACCTTTCATTCCATCAGTGAAGGAAGGATTAACAGGAAGATGGAGGATCAGACTGGCCTGGGCCAAAAAGACGCTAGTTGAAAAATAACTAAAGCAAAAAGGGCTACAGGCATGGTTTAAGTTGTAGAGTGCCTGCCTAGTAAGTGCAAGATACAGAATGCAAAACCCACAACTGCAAAAAAGGAATGCACTATTTATTGATCAATCTGTCATTTTTGCATACAACCCAGAGACATCATTCTTCCTTATTGCTAAAAATAGAATAAATTGACAGATGTCCCTCCAATTCATGTGTTGAAAATATCACTACTTGAAAATTTACCCACTAAATATAATGAATATCATAGTTTAGCCAGGCCTACCATAAAGGGTACTTATAGCATTTCCATCACCTTGAGTTGGGATGGTCATCTAAGCCCAATTTTCTAATAAATTTTTGAATAGCTCATGTAATTTATCAAATGCAGTGCACTGTGCATTATCCATTCTTTACCATTTCCTAATCAGAAAGGTGAAATTGGAGGAGCACTGTACTGCATGTCTGGCCATGGAAAAGATCCACACTCACATATTATTCTCCCCATCTGTTTTATAAATGCACCATTGATAAACACAACATATTTAAAACTTATAGAACATTTTATTCAGGTTTTTCTTTTCTGGAGCATTCTACACAAATAACTTTGCATCAAGCTATTCATACCATTAATATTTGTAGGATTCTACTGCATAAGGAATTTTCACAGGACTATGAAACTATCTGTCACTAATGGCAACATTCCTTTATTTTCCACACTCACAGATGTGGTCCAGAGGGCATCTTATATGTGTGCCATCAGGAGAATTTTGGGCATCTCTTCCAATCAAGGCTTCCTGACATAGTATGTGCTGTGTATCTGGGAAATGAAATGAGATGACTGCAGGCATTCCCACACATGTCATATTGATGTGATTCCTTCACAATACATTCTCATACTGCTAACTAAGATTATCATATTTATGTGTTTCATATTTTAAAGTTAGGCATTCTTCCCAGTGTGAGTTCCTGCATGTTTTCTACAGTGACTGGAAGAAATGAAGGTTCTACCACATATTTTACATTCATAGGGTTTTTCCCCAGTGTGAATTCTATCATGTATTCGAAGAGAGCTACAATAAGTGAAGGTCTTCCCACACTGCTTACAAACATAGGGTTTTTCCCCAGTGTGAGTTCGTCTGTGTACTTGAAAGGCATTGGAATAAATAAAGCCTTTCCCGCATTGCTTACATACATATGGCTTCTCTCCAGTATGAATTCTTTTATGCATCTGAAAAGAAGAAGAATATATGAAAGCTTTCCCACACTGCTTACATACATAGGGCTTCTCTCCAGTGTGAATTCGTTCATGTTGTTGACAGGTACTGGAATCACTGAAGCCTTTACCGCATTGCTTACACACATAAGGTTTCTCTCCAATATGGGTCCTTGCATGTTTTCGACAGTTACTGGAGGAAGTGAAGGTTTTACCACATACATTACATACATATGGCTTTTCGCCTGTGTGAATCCTTTCATGAACTTGAAGACACCCAGAACGACTGAAGGTTGTCCCACATTTCTTACATTCATATGGTTTGTCTCCAGTGTGAGTTCGTTCATGTCTTTTTAAGTTACTGTAATGAATGATGGCTTTCCCACACTGCTTACATACATAGGGTTTCTTTCCAGTGTGAGATCCTACATGCTTCCCAATGCTCTAGAATTAATGAAGCCTTTCCCACACTGCTTGCATATATACGATTTCTGTCTAGTATGAGTCTTTTCATGCTTCCTAATGTTATTAGAAGAAGTGAAAGTCTGACCACATAATTTACATGTATAGATTCTCCCTCCTGTGTGAATTTTTTCATGGATTTGAAGATTACAGGAACTACTGAATACTTTCCTACATTGCTGGCATTCATAGGGTTTTTCTCCCATGTGAATTTGCTCATGTCTTTGAAGGACACTGGCATAACTAAAGGCTTTACTGCATACCTTACACTTGAAAAGTTTTCCTCTAGTGTGTGTTACCATGTGTCTATGAAAACCTGCAAGAGTCATGAAGCCTCTCCCACATTGCTTACACATAAACACTTTTTCTCTAAAATGAAGTTTTGTATGTACCTGAACATAGCTCTGTCTACTAAAAACTTCTCCACATTGCTTACATTTGTAGGGCTTCTCTCCACTGTGAGTCCTCACATGCTTCAGAAACCATTTAGGGTGAGTGAAGGCTTTCCCACATTCCTTACATTTATAGAGCATCTCTGTATATTCCTTATACCCGCATGATTTATGTGCAATCTGAACTGTATTGGCCACATTTAGAGACAAATGACCAGTGAGGACTTCACACACAGGCCTTTCCCATGGTTTCACTCCAGGAGTTTTCTTGTTCACAGTACGATGTACAATCCAGGTGCAGATTTCTCCACAGTAACTCCCTTCTGAGTGTTCACAAGGTCTCCTGAGTGCTTCACATCTGTGTAAAACAGGAAGCACATTGCTAAGATTTTGTTCCTTATTTAACTTATCGTTCTATGTACTCTATTTATTTCTGAACATGAAAGGGCTGAATACTCTGCAGAATTCAGAGAACAATTATTATCAAAATGTTGGTAATGAGGTCTTATGTGAATAGCTCATGTGTTTCACATCTAGAAGGAAGGAGCTCTACCAGAGCTAGTTATTTTTCAGATAGGATCAAACTTATTTACCCAGGCTAGCCTTGAAATGCAGTCATCTGATCTCTGCCACCCAAGGAACTAGGATTACCGACTTCAATCCGAGCACTCAGCTACAATATTCACTTTTGTATCATACATATAACAAAAACCTTTAAGGTAAATTTGTCATGCTATAAGTTTGTGCATGTAACAACTTTTGTGCACACTGAACCATTAGGTGTCCCATGTAGTATGTTGTCAATGTTTTCAATATTACAACAGTTCAGGTTTTATTATCTAATACTATATATTCAATCTATATGCATTTTTGTAGAAAATTTCTTGGGTTAAATCAATGTGAAGGTGGACATTCTATTTCACTGGCGACCTTTAAAAATTCTTGTTAATAACCAAATGCAGGTGGTATACGGCTGTAATCTGAGTGATTCAGGAGGATCAGTTGTCAAAAGGCAGCCTTGAGAAACAGTTCTCAAACCCTATTCCAAAAATACCTAACACAAACAGGGCTGGTTGAGTGGCTCAAATGGTAAGAGTGCCTGCCCAACAAACATGAAGCCCTGAGTTCAAACTCCAGTTCCCACATAACAAAAAAGTTATTGTCACTACAGGATTCTTTAGGGACACACATTTATTTTGGCAGGTGCAAATTACCTTTCATTTCTCCTGGAATTTTTCATGTCACCTTCACTCGTCTTGTCTTCCTGCATCTTTCCTAAAACATGACACAAAATGTCAATATTGATTATCTATTAGATATTAGATAGGCAGGTTAATGCTGTAATGAAACAAAACTGAGTATATTCAAATTTTCTATTTCCTTTCTTTTTCTTTTTTCTGCTTTTTGGTGGTTGAATTCAGGGCCTTGGGCTTACTGGCCAAGTACCCTAACACAGAAGCTACTCTGCAAGCCTTTCTTCAGTTGGTTATTTTTGAGGTCCAGCCCAAGACAGACCTCAATCCTCTCATTTTTACTTGCCTGTATACCTGAGAAGAAAGAGCATACCAGTGACTTCAGCCACTGGCTGACATGGGGTCTGATGAACTTTAAGCCCAGGTTGGCCTGAAAGTGCCATCCTCTCAATCTTCCTCTCCCAAGTAGCTAGGGTTACAAGCTTAAGCCATCATACCTAATCACATTAACTGGTTCTGCCGTCCAAACTATGGAGAGGCACACCTGCCCCAAAACATTGGTTCTCTCATCAACTCATTAAAGTAACATGGTCACCCTTACCTACAGCAGCCAGGTTCCTCAAGGTTTCCTGCATCACATCTCTGTAGAGATTCTTTTGTGAATGGCTCAGCAAGGTCCACTCCTCCACAGTAAATCTCACAGCCACATCCTCAAAGGTCACTGGCTCCTAAAACATCCCAAAGATTTCAAGGATGAAGAATGATACTCACAGCATTGGAAATCTACATTCAACTCATAAGCAGTTCACATGATGTGGTACTCCTTACATGATCACTCCATGCGCTGCTCATCCCACTCTTACCCTCCATCCATACTCGTACCATCTCTCACAGAAATTCAGATACCATATTAGAAATACGTGGTGAAGCTACAGCAGAAGAGGATCACCCCAACCTCTGTTTGCTGGGTCTGCAGCACCTCTCATGTAAAGCCCTACTTGGAACTGAGCATAAGACGATAAACACCAGGCATCCTGAGATTGCATGCACTTGTGAATGCTTGAGGACACATTCAACCTTTGCCAGTATATGGGAAATACCATAGACATGTAACTCACCACCCTGACAAGAGGAGCTCGGTGTTCCAAACAATTTATGTCAACAATATGCTACTTGTTTAACTCAGCAAGGCTTGGAGTTTCTGCCATGCTCAACAGAGGGAGCTTAAGTGTTCAACCCTCAAAATATACTCTGGACGATGAACTTCTAATAAGCTGGTCTGACATAGCATCCCAAGATACACATAGCCATGTATAAACAGAATTAAACCTGGTAGGAATTATTTTAAGTTTGTAACAGCAATACAACATTTAAAAATCAGTGAATGTAATCTATCACCTCACCAAGCAAAAATCCTAAATGCAAATCAATAGACACAGAGAAAACATAAGCAAGAAAGAATACAAAAGGGCACTGAGATTTAGAATGAACACATAATGCTGTCATGGGCTGGTGGAGTGGCTCAAGTGGTAGACCATCTGCTTAGTAAGCATGAGGCCCTGAGTTCAAGCCGCAGCACTACAAAAACAAATTGAGGAGCCAGTCAGGCACCAGTAGCTCAAGCTTGTAACAAAGCTGTCTTTGTTCACAGATGCCATCACTGTCTAGTTAGAAAATCTCAGAGAATGAATAAAAGACTCCTGAAATTCCTAAGAGATTGTAGCAAGGCTCTAAAACACTAGCTTAATACACAAAAATTCCACATTTTCTGGGATCAATTATAAATAAGTGGATTTAAATTAAAAGAACACTATTCATATAGCACAAGACGTGGTATACCGGACAGACAGAGAGACAGATGTTTCATCTACCATCTAAGACCACCTACAAAACCTGCACAGTGCCAGAGGTAGCCAACACAAGCAAGATACAATCCTACAGAGATGCTGTTTAGTAAGACAAATATAGATCATTTCAAGTGTTGGCAAATCACACAATAAACACACATCCATGAAAGGTCAGATGATAACTACACGCACTGTCATACACGCCATACTAAATTTCATTCTATCCATCACCTACATAACACCTTTTTCACATTCTGTAACAAAAATGTATTCTTCCTTAGAATTTACATACAAAAATCAAGAATTACTTTCAAACATCGTCAACCAAAATAAGCAACTAGAGTACTTAGGGCAGTAAAAGGAGGAGTTACATGCATGGCCACCGTCATACACAGCATCATATGTGGAAGAGATAAGCCAAAGACACTATAAGAAAACCCTTTTTACAGAACCCAACAGTACATGTATGGTAGCAGTCACTCACTAAAAACTCAAGAGACAAACCAAGTGGTACACAAAAGGTAAAGCGATAAACCATGTTCTGTAATCCATCCTTGGTCACCTCTGGTTATACAGCAGGATGAGAGAAGGCAGAACCACCAAAGTGACTGTGGCCTATTTACTCCCCTGCATGTGACTCTAAGATGATTTATATTTTCATTTGAATTTAGCATGATACACATAATTTTCTCAAATGATCTCTTTGCTTCTTGAGGTCTATTCTATCTATCCACTCAGATTCCAACCAAGAATATCACCGTCTTACACTCAAATCATGAAAAAAATCATTATATTTTTAGACAGGGTACCACATGTACACAGAGGCTGTCCTGGAATGCAAGATTCTCCAACCTCATCCTCTTCACTGCTGGGATGATACTCATGTGCAAGCATGTCTCGCTTAGAAAATTATTAAATGAAGAAGTACACTGTATTTTGTTTTGTTTTTTCTCCAGTTCTGGGGTTTGTATTCAGGGCATTGTGATCAAGTGATCTAACACTTGATCCATGCCTTTCACCCATTTTTCTGTGCTTGTTTTTGAGATAGAGTTTTGCTGGAGTTTTGTTGGTGGTGGTTTTTTTCTGGCTAGCCTCAAACTGTGATCCTCCTGGTCTCAGCATTTCAAGTAGCTTGGACTGCAGTCCTGAGTCACCAGTACCTGGCAAAACGGCTATTTTATAGAAATGACAATCCACAAAGACTCCTCCTCTATAGGCTCATTTCTGTCCAGGACTACTCACCCACAGTCAGCTGAAGATTCTGACCTATGCTGTTTCTGACATCACTTCTGACACCCAATGAGTGGTGTTTGCTGAACACCAACCAATTCTGCAACGCCCAAAGCCAGCTGGGTGTCCCACAATTCAATCCTGCTCTCCCACAATTAGCAGAGAACCGCCCCGAAGTTCAGCACTGTATCCAACTGCAGTGTCCCTGGTGCAAGTGGAAGGCCAAACATGTACTTACTCAGTCTACTCAACACTCCCAGTTCTCAATTTAACTATGGGAGGCATCCTGAATTACATTTTCATAAATTCAGCTACTCTGCCTTATAAACAAAGACAAATATGACAAAATAAAAAAAGACATTTCTTTTGCCAGGAAATTTGAAGGAGTTAAGGAAGGTTTTTGTGCTAAAACTGGACACGCAGACAAAATTTTTATGATACTACATACCAAAAAAAAGCCTCAAAATCACAAACCGTTTTTTTGGCTTGCTTGACTGTCCCTCACAGACTTTGTTAATTGGCACAAATGACATTCTGTCCAGAACAACCAACTGCAGACAAAAGCAAACAGCTGAAGATGTTGAGGTTTACCCAAGTGCTGGAGTCCTAGTCAATAACAGAGATTAAAGAAGTCTCAGGTCACCAAGCTTTCTATTTTGGGGAAGCACCAAGAGCAAGGAAAACACCAGTACTGGAAATTTGGGGAAGTGCACTTCTTAAAAACAAAGGACGTATTTCCAAAATTCCACTTTCTGCCTCAAGGGCATTACCATAATACACCACCAGAAACAGAACTCTTCCCAAAAACTTTCCTGAGCTTTCTTTCATCCTCCAGGTCTCTGATCTCAACAGCCCAAGCCAGCACGTGGCCCCTCCTTTACTGTCACCCTAAGGACCGGTGGCCTCAGGGACATGTCCCCTGTCCCAGGAGCTGATGCGCCCCTCCACCGCCCTCCTCTCCCCTTCTTTCTCCTGTTTGCTCCTCCCTAGAAAGCACAGCCTGCTCGCCTGGCCCTGGAGACCCCGCAGACTTGCACTTGGGGCTGTCCCGCCTCTGCACTAAGCTCAGGTCCCCGCCATCTGCGTTTCATTTGTAAACACTGTGTGCACACAGGCCAAGGCCGACACCAACCACGTCAGAGGGACCCGCGTCTCCCCTTCCGCTCCCCCACACGTGTCCCCGAGGACCCCTTTCCCATGCCGGCCATGCGGGGAGTCCACAAAGCTAGGGATTCCCCGCCTCAGGACCAGGTGGCGGTGGAGACGCCGCTTCCACCATCAGGAAACTCGGGGCGCTCAGGTCTGCGCCGGGATGGGGACGGGGACCCCGCGGCCACTCGGGAGCCTCCCGCCACCTCCGCCGGCACCGCGCTGTGGGGAGACGCGGGGCTGCGGGCGCGGAGGGACAGGGGGCTCCGGCGGGGACAAGGGACAGGAACTTGGGGTCCCGGCTGCGGCCCCGCCCCGCCCGGGGACCGAGGGGACGAGCGGAGCGGCGCCGGCGGCGACTCTGCCGCAGACTCCGGGGCTCACGCGGGGCCCAGTCGCTCTCAACCCCTCCTCGCCCGTGTCACAAATCCGCCCCACGCTCACCATTCCTGCCTGCCGGGTGTCCTGCTGCCCACTCCTGCTCCCGGGGTCAGCGTCACAGAGAGACGGGAGCTGAGACACAGGACTCCTCACACGATCCTCGTGGGTCTGGCAACGATGACTGCAGAAAGGAAGCTGGGTGGCGAGGGGCGGGCCTTTGCCCAGCCTGTGCCCCTGATTGGACAGCTTCTACAACCCTGATTGGCTAGAGCTCCAGCCATAGTCCTAGGTGACAGGGAAGTGACAGAAGGCAAAAGGACACCTTCCAGTCCCTGCTCCTCCCAATGCAGGCTTCTCCTGGGCGCCCCACCTGGGAAACAGTGCATCAATCAGACCTTCCTCCTGGCTCTCCTGAGCGGCCATTTGGGTTCTTACTGTTTTCTCCTCCTGGAAATGGGACCAGTGACAATTCCAGTCTCTGGCCAATGGAGATGTCCCCTGGAAACAGGTTGTAAGGGTGCCTAGGCGAGGATAGGCCCCATGGGAACAAGAGGAAAGGCCTGATGTAACCCTTGAGGAATTGGAGATAAGGCAGTTGACCATAGCCAAGGTTTTCTCAATGCCTTTTCTAATGTTTTATCTATTTTCAGCAAAGAAAAGAAAAACATACTAACAAGGGACTACAATTATTCAATGCTCAGAGAACCCGGAATTATATGGCAGCAACATTCTACGAAGAAGTCAAGAGGAAAGCAAAGCAAACATTTGAATCAGCTCAGACAGGCAGGCTCTGCATCCAAGGTCACAATGAAAGACAGAAGGAAATTCTGATTTTATTCAGAATATTAAACTCAAGTGGCTCAAGTAGTAGAGCACATTCCTTGCAAGTACAAGCTCGAACTCCAATCCCCAGAATCACAAGAGAATAAATTATTTTAAAATATATATGTGTATGTATAGATATGAATAGGATGTGGGAACTGGGTTGTGAAATGCAGCCCCAGAGTGGATCCATCACTGGGAACAGTGACATCTAAAGGACACTATGCCCTACTGTGTCCCCTCCTCCCAGTATGGAAAAGTCTCTCTGTTTTGTTCGTTGTTTTTTTCCCCTGGTAGTACTGGGGTTTGAACTCAGGGCCCCTTGATTGCTAGACAGGTGCCCTTGCCTTCTGAGCCACTCCACCAGCCCAAGGAAAAGTCTTTCTCCTTCAGCATCTTCACATTCACCAGAGGGAACCCTCACCAGGAGTCATTTACAGTCCTTTCCAAAGTAAACTGCCAAATTCATAAACCCATTCTCCAGGCACTACATGAATGAGCCTTTATCTAAGACTGATCGTCATAGATTTTCTCAACATATTCAAGTTAGATTGACCCCAGCAACTCTACCAGGGGAAAAACCAAAACCCTGCCCAGAAAACAGCTCCTTAGCAACTAGTCACTATCTCAAAGGCCAGAACTTCTAACTGCATCTGTTGGGGGCGGGGGGGGGGGGCGTCTCCTGCTCTCCATGGTTCTGGAGCTTCTCACTCTCACCTTGTACTGGTTCTGAGCAGCTGGAGGCTGCAAGCAGTGGCAGTAGCTTACCAGGACATGCCAAGGGATTTCATTGTTCTCCCTTTACAGCCTCAAGATGAACAGGAAAGGTTTGGTGGTAGCTGCCATAAAAATGCCCAGGAAGCAAAGAGGACAAATCCTGCTGTGGGCTCCACCTGACCAGGCACCATGTGCATGTATAACACCATATCTGAATGAAGGCACAGGGTGAGCACACAGGCTCTGGCGCAGATCCAAATTGCAATTTAAGAACTCTGTGCTTATTTTGGTGGGATTGGAGTGTGAATACAGGGCTTTATCCTTGCAAAGCAGGCACTGTAGCTTTTGAGCATCGCCTCCAGTACATTTTGCTCTGGTTATTTTGGAGATCGGAGCTTTCATTCTATTTGCACAGATTGGTCTTTTATTGCGATCCTCCCTGCATCAGTCTCCCAAGCAGCTAGGATTATAGGCATGGGCCACCAGTGCCTGGCTGGGTAGATTTTCCTTAGGAGGTCATGGGGAACCATATGAGGAGAGTGATTCCTAAGATATGCCCTAATTCTTTCACAGCTTTCATCCAATCACTCCCTGCAGGCTGACTTGAGGGAGAAACTGACACTCAAAACCCCTAAAGCAGTGCACAGTGGTACACGACTATAATCTCAGCTACTTAAGAGGCAGAAGCATCAGGACTGTGAGTTTACCACAAGCCTGGGAAATGGTAATGAGACCCTTTCTCAAAAGGAAAAACAAAAAGGGTGGGGATGTAGCACTAGTGGTGTAATGCTAGCCTAAGTAGCACAAGGCTCTGTGTTAAATCTTTAGTACAAGGAAAGGAACAGATAGGAGAGTGGAGAGGACATGACCTATTAACCAATTACACTCATAAACAACTGTGTAAACCTCAACAGAATTGTCATCTCAGTTTTTGGCGGGGGTTGGGGGTACAGGGGGACTCAGGGCCTCAGGCTCTCTAGGCAAGAGCTCTAGCACTTGTGACACTTCACAGCCCTTTTTTTGTGTTGCTTTGGTTTCTTTCTTTCTTTTTTGGTAGTACTGGTGTTTGAACTCAGGGTATCACACTTGCTAGGCAGGTTTTTACCACTTGAGCCACTCCACCAACTCTGTGTTGATTATTTTCAACATAAGGTCTCATGAACTATTTGCCCAGGCTAGCTTCGTACCTTGATCCTCCTGATCTCTGGTTCCTGAGTAGCTAGGAATACAAGTGTGGAATACTGGCACCTGGCTTAATAATTATTAGCATATTTTGTGGGATTTTTTTTGAAAAGGATTCTACTATGTAGCCCAGGCTGATCTGAAACACATAATCATCCTTCTTCAGTCTCTTGTGGGATACCATTTCAAGTATGCACTACCATACCTGGTTTCAATAATGTTTTGAGAGTAAAAATTAGAAATACATTAGTCCAGAGATCTATTTTATAAAGGAAGCATTGATAAATACAAAATATTAAAATGTCTACGACATTTTATTCAGGTTACCATTTCCTGAAGCATTCTACACAAATTACTTTGCATCAAACTCTTACATCACCAACGTTTGTAGGATTCCACTGCATAAATTTTCACAGGACTTTGAAATGTTGTCACCACTAACAGTTTTATTTTCCACATTCACAGAGTTTGGTCCAGAGTGCATCTCACACGTGTCCCATAGCAGACTTTTGTACATTCTTTGAAATCAAGGCTTCTCACCATAGTATTTCCCTGTGTGTCTGGGAAGTGAAATGAGATTGACTGCAGGAATTCACAAATGTTACATTGCTACGATATTAAATCTATTCCCTATTCTATAGTTAGGCATTCTCCTCAGACTTAGTTTGCATGTTTTCAACTGTACCTGGAGGAAAGGAGATGTTTATCTCATGGCTTAACATACATAGGGTTTCTCTCCAGTATGAAATCCCTGATGCATTTCAATAGAATCAGAGTAAGTGAAGCTCTTTACTCACTACTTACAAACATAGGGCTTTTCTCCAGTTTGAGTTCATTCCTGTTGTCCAAAGGTCCTGGAAGTTATGAAACCTATTCCACATTACTTGCATTACTTTTCAACACTGTAAATTCTGTTATGTATTTGAAGAGAAACAAAACAAATTGACTTTTTGCCACCATGCTTACATTGATAGGGTTCCTTTCCAGTGTGAGTTCATTCTTGGTGTCTGAAGGTACTACAATCAATGAAGCCTTTTCCCACATTGCTTATATTCATAGGGTTTCTCTCTAGTGTGGGACATTGCATGAAATTATTAAATGAAGGTTTAACCATAAGGGTTCCCTACAGAGGGTTTCTCTTCACTTTGAGTTCTCTCATATAGCCAAAGAGAAACAGAATAAGTGAACGTATTTCCACACTGCATACATATTGTAGATCTGTTAAATTTTAGGCAGAATTCCATTGCATACTGAGGCCATTCCTGTTACATTAACCAAACATTCTTTTCCATGTTTTTTGTTTTGTTTTGAGTTTTTTGTTTTTTGGCTGTAATGGGGGCTAAACTCAAGGTCTTGAGCTTGCTGGGCATACACTCTACTATTGAGCCACTCTACCAGCCTTTTTTCTGTTGGTTATTTTTCAGATAGGCTTTCACTATATGTGTGGATGGACAGTGATTCTCCTATTTGTACTTGTCCATGTAGCTGGGGTGACAGGAGCACACCACTGTGCCCACCATCAATAAATGTGAGGTCTGTTGAAATTTTTGCTCAGTTTGTTATCAAACTGCAGTGCTCACAATCCCTCTTTCCCAGCCTTCACACCTAGTCAAATTTCCTCTTTCCACATTCCAAACTATGAAGCAGCACTGATGACCACACTAGTTCTCCAATTGACACATTAAAGGAACGCTGTCACCCTTACATCCTTACCAACTGCAGCCAGGTTCCTCAAGGTTTCCTGCATGACATCTTTGTAGGGCTTCTTCTGTGAAGCATCCAGCAAGGTCTACTGCTCCACGGTGAAGTTCATAGCCATATCCTCATAGGTCACTGACTCCTAAAACATCCCAAAGATTTCCAGGAAGAAGAATGACACTCACACCACTGGAAATCTACATTCTACTCACAAGCAGTTCACATGATGTGGTGTTCTTCACATGGTCACTCCATGCCCTGATCATCCCACTTTTACCCTCCATCCATAATCAGTATGAGCTCACTCTTGGTGTCTAAAGGTACTACAATTAATGAAGCCTTTTCCCACATTGCTTATATTCATAGTGTTTCTTTCTAGTGTGGGACATTGCATGTAATTATGAAATGAAGGTTTAACCACATGGGTTACCTACACAGGGGGGTAATGATGACTGTAGGATGTTGTATTATTCCCTGCATAAGAGGACTTCTCCAAAGATTGAGAAACTCCTACCTCTGCCAAAACAACCTCTTCCTTTTGGACACCACTGAACATGAAAGTCAGCTGATGTTAACAGAATTTGAAGAAAAGAATGTAGATGAGTAACAAAAAGTGGGGGAAATTGTAGGATTTGGACCTGTCTTTTCTGTTGAAGTAGCTTACACAAACCACTGCCACTTTGAGTCTGTAGCCATTTTAGTTTCCCAGATGTAAAAGTTTCATTTCTTTGAGTTTCATATATCTGGAGCCCTTAGTTTCAGTTCCTTGCTGAGCTGTCAACCCCTCCCCCCTAACCTACACAGTAACCAATTGTGAAGAGTTGTGAACCCAAGCATGGACCAATCCTCATGAGGGGCAGGGTTACCTTTAGAGATAAAACCCAAGTGGACTTCCCACTCGGTCTGCTTGCTTATCAGACTTATGGTCTGTTGTGCACTCTGCTGTACAAGCAAAACTTTTTGCCTTGCTGAGCTACAATCAAGTGTTTCTCTGATTGTTGTTT